CCCCCCGCATCAGCTCTCTCTGGGGTTCCCCCTTCCTCCTCACCAGGTCCTGAGGCTGCTGTCCCTCTGCCACTGGGCTTGTCCCAGTCCCTGGATCCAGGTTCCATGCTCTGGGAACCAGCTTCCCTTCTTGCTTGGAGACCAGGAACCCCTCGCCTCCCCTTCCCTCAACCTCCCAGGGTCCTGTATTCTCACAGCTGCCTAATGTTCAGTAGGCGCTCAGAACATGTAACTCCCGGTCTCCCTTCTGCTCCCCTCCCCCACGGCTCCCAGCCTCTCCCACGTGAGGATTTCTGCTCAGGGAGCTATGCATGGCAACTCGATCGATGGAGAAGTAGCTATTGTTGGCTGAGGACGTGGCGTGGAAGGAAATGAGGCAGGCTGAGGAACTGGAGGAACTCGAAGGCTACAGCTTAGTGCCCCCCAGCTTCAGGTCCCCATCCCCTGTGGGCCGGTGGGGAGGCTCTGTTCCGGGCATCATTGCATCAGGACAAAGGATATCAACTTTGCAAAGAGGGTGGATAGTGACAGACCCCTGATGGCTCCTGAAGCCAGGTTGTCCTTAAATCTCACCTGGCACCTGAGGACAGCAGCCAGGACCCTTAATGCCACTTATTCTTACTGCCCCCCCCCCCCCCCCCCCCCCGCCGCCACCTTGTTCCCAGTCTGCTCCAGGGAGCAGAGATGGAACCATGATTTATTGAGAATTAACACTGAGCCAAGCCCCAAGCTAAGTGGCAAATACATTGGCTTGTTTCATACACAGTCAGCCCAAAAGAGATAGGTCCTACCCCCCCCCCCAAATAAAAAAATAAAAAAGGTCTTGCTGTAATGCTTGGGATGGTCCTGAACTCCTGGGCTCCAGCAATCCTGCCCCAGACTCCTGAGTAACTGGGACTCTTTGGCGTGTGTTCCGTTTTTACAAGGGGAAACTGAGGCCCAGAGAAGTGAGGGAACATGCCCAAGTCCCAAGGCCGAGAGGTGTCAGGGTTCTCAATGAGTGCTTTGACAGCCACGAGGAGCATCCATCTTCCAGGCCACTGGTGTTTTGCTTGGGGCAGGAAGGCCACTGCTGGGAGGTCAGAGGGAGGAGGCGAAGGCTGCCGGGAGCTGTGGAGACTGCAGGTGGGTGTAAGCCAGTTCAGAGCTGAAGGCAGAGGTAACCCAGACCCGTGCTAGGGCATCCTGGTGACAGGAACTTCCCAGAGGATACAGTGTGTGCCCTGGCTCCAATAGTTGCATTCAGGAAGGGGCGAAGGGAGGGAAGGAGCCCCTGGCAGGGCTGTGCTATGTGCAGGTGGACAGTCCCGGGGCTAACTCATACTCTCATGGTCCCCAGGGAGAGATGGCTAAGGTTCAGTGTTAGCCAATGACAAGCACAGAATTGCCTCTGGCAGTCCATCGCTTTTTACCCCCCAAAGATTTATTTATTTTATTATTTTGTTTGTTTTGCCTACATACATATTTATGTATACCATGTGTGCCTGGTGCCCTCGGAGGTCAGAAAAGGACATCAGATCCCCTGCGACTAGAGTTACAGATGGTTGTGAGCAGCCATGTAGGTGCTAGGAATTGAACCCAGGTCCACGCAAGAGCAACCAGTGCTCTTAACCACTGAACCAATTCTACAGCTGCGTGTCTACTGCTTTTTAAAAGACTTTAAACATTATTTTATTTGGGGCTAGAGAGATGGCTCAGTGGTTAAAAGCACTGACTGCTCTTCCAGAGGATCCGGGTTCAATTCCCAGCACCCACTTGGCAGCTCACAACAGTCTGTAACTCCAGTTCCAGGGGATCTGGCACCCTCACACAAAAATGGAGGCAAAACACCAACGAGCATATGATAATAGTAATAATAATAAAGTTAAAAATTATTTTATTTATGGTGTGTGTGTGTGTGTGTGTGTGTGTGTGTGTGTGTGTGTGTGTGTGTGTGTGATGGGAAGGGCACATGTGGGGGTCAGGTGACCGCTTTGTGGAATCCGTTCTCTTCTTCCGCCTCCGTTCTCTTCTTCCGCCTTTGCATGGGTTCCGGGGATTGAACTCAGGTCGTCAGGCTTGCATAGCCAGCGCCTTTACCCGCTGAGCCATTAGCTGCCCATAATGTGCAGTTTTAGGAAGAAAGCAGAATCCCAGACACGACACACTTGCACATCTCTCCTGAGATCTTGGGCCCTCCCCCGAGGCGGGCTCTTCTCTCTTTGGTGCCCCGCGTCTGTCATGCTGTCTCCGGCTGTCTGTGAGTCAGCCACAGACCTCACTCAGGAAAGTCCTGAGGAATTTTTCTTCTCAGTCAGTTCTAATTGAGCAGTGTGGGCAACACCCAGTGACACATGCGGAATTGGGTAAGGAGAGGCGAGGCAGCACCCTCTCTCTGCTTGTCTGTCCCTTCCCTCCGACTTCCCAGGGTTCAGAGCCACCTCAGCCCCAGCTGGGTGGAAGGTGGATAGTGACCCGGAGGCTCCCCAGCCTGACTTGCTCTGCCTCAGCCCTCCAAGGAAAATGAGTCATTTTTCTAACGAGGAGGAGATGTTTCCCTTTATGTGGGAGGAGGGAGGGGAAAGGGTAGGGTAGGGACAGTCCCCTTTGGCCCCCTTCAACTCAGTTCTCAGCTCCTGAGGAGCGGACACTTCAGCCACATACCAGAGGACACTAGGGCCACAGTGCGTGGAGCGGCCAGAACTGTTTACAGCAGTGGCTACCAGCTCTGAGAGCACCGAGTCACCTCTCCAGAACTGGGTTGGGTTGAGTAGATAGGGGTTCCTCTTGGTCCCCCGTGGATGGTGTCCGCCTTGT